CACGTTAGGAGTCCCCGACGAGCTTGTCAAGGTCACCTGTACCGGGAAGTCAACTCAGGGAGGAGGAATCGAAGGACCAGTTGTCACCTCAGTCGAGTTCTCAGCTAGCACCACCTTACCGACTGTCCCAGCTTTCACCGAGTTGACTATAGAGGACTCGGTTGAGGAGGGACTGCGAGCTGTCTCACACAAGGCACTTCGCAGAGTGATGAGGGATCACTACGAGCACCTAAAGACGACAGAGTTCCTTCTACTTCCCCAGGCCCTCGACCTCAGCCTTACTCCTAGTGAGCAGAGTTTCGCAGCCGGCAGAGTTGTCTTTGCAGAGGAGGACAGATGCCTTCATGTCTCAGCTATCCACCTACTGGAGCAGGATAGGTACGTGACCCAGCTTGAGCAGAAGAGACGTCAGGACCGGGCTCTTCTGTGGGAGTACTAGGAGCGAGACTCGCAGGGAGCACAGGAGCGAGCTAGTTTGCTCGAGACAATTGCCAAGCTACAGGACGAGCTCAACCGTCATGAAGAAGTCCACAGAGCCGAGGTCGCTGACTTACAGGATAAAGCAGCCGACCTAGGCAACAGGAACTGCTACCTCAACAGCAAGGTCTTGGAGTTGTAGAGAGAGTTGGACGACAAGAAGGCCGAGTTCAACCGCAGAGGAGACAGAGAGAGGTCCAAGGGGATTGATATGCTAAAAATCCAATCTTGGAACAAGACCTTGACCCAGGAGCTAGAGGAGTTCAGGAAGAAGGCCGTTCGCAACCAGGGTCACCTGATCGAGGCACTCAGGCAGACCGAGTACCTACAGGACAAGTGTGAGAGGACTTGGCAGACTTGGCAAAAGTCTGACAAGAAGCGCCTCAGGGAGATGAAGGGTATGTGGGATTAGCTACCCAAGGAGATTCGCAGCAAGACGAAGCCGAGTATAGAGGAGTTTGAGTTAGCACCGACTCACCTCAACCTAGACGCCTGCCCTACCCTACCTGGAGCCAAGCCTATTGAGGAGCTCGCCGAGGCCCTGAAGTACGTGTCCCGACTTCACAAGTCTGATGAGGAGATCGAGATCGAGAACAGTCGTATCCCAGCTGCGGTGTACGAGTTAGAGTAGATGATGGCCCTGCGTGGTCATGAGTCATGTCAGTGGCTTCCATAAGTGTACCCCATGATGTACCCCTTATAAGATGTATTATGAGACACTATGCGTAGTACGATTCTCGCATGTCTTCAAGTGTAGCTACTGGAGATGATGCTATGTAATAAAACCCATGTAATGAATGTTTTGGATCTTATTGCATCTTATGGATCTTATTGCTTCTTTGTAATGAGTGTTGGATAGTACAAATGTTTTTCTTTAAATCGTCAAAATCATGTAATCATATTGAATTATAAGCACTTATGGCACAAGCACTAAAATTCCTATGATCCGTGTTGCAGATGCCGAACACCACGCCGGAGATGAACGCCACGCCGGTGCAACCGGAGCGGCCTCACGAGCTGCGCAATGCCGCAAGGACCTATAGTCGCCTTATGCGGCCCGTGGAGGACACCTCCGCTGGTTTGCCAACCCATCACCTGCAGTCCCTCTCAGAGCTCCTCGCGAGCACCACGATGTCCTCGAGCATCGACTCCGAGGAGGACGGCGGCGGTTGGGCTGGCACTGATTTCTTTGGGCTCGATGACCCGGAGGCTCTACGTCAGTTCCTCGGCAACTGAGACTACCTCCTCGAGGGCACCGACTCCGACGATGAGAGCGACGACCCATCTCGAGAGTGCTTCATGTGCGATGGGGAGCCCCACGACGGGGACTCCAACAAGGACAAGGGCGAACACAGCCCGACCGACCCTGCAGCCCGCGCCATGGCACGCGTCGGGGCATGGCCATACCACCGCTCATTTGCTGATGAAGACCGGAGCTAGGGCGGGACTCGTCTTCATCTCCCCGCTCGGCGTGTTGTGGTACATGTTGCAAAACCATTTTCCAGCGTTTAACAACGTGGCTGAGTATGAGGCACGGGTCAACGGCTTGCACATCGCCACCGAGCTTGGGATCTGATGGCTTGATGTTCGAGGCGACTCCCAGCTGATCGTGGACCAAGTCATGAAGGAGTCAAGCTGCCATGATCCCAAGATGACGGCATACTGCCAAGCGGTCTGCCTCCTAGAAGACAAGTTCGATGGCCTCGAGCTTAGCCACGTAGCAAGGTGATTTAACGAGGCAGCATATGAGCTCACGAAGCTGGCGTCTGGCCAGGCACCGGTTCCCGCCGACGTCTTCGCTAGCGATCTATATGAACCCTCGGTCACTTAACAAGGATCGACACAAGACGGCAGCGAGCCGCCCGAGCCGACCTCGGGGGCTGGCCCGACCCCGTCCCCCATCGACCTCGAGGTTATGGAGACCAATGAGGACCCAGACTCAGGGCCCGACCCCCTGCCAGACTGGAGGATCCCATACCTCGAATACCTAGTTCGAGGCATGGTCCCCTCGAGCCGGACCAAGGCCTGATGCCTCGTGCGCCACGCTAAGTCCTTTGTTCTGCTGGAATGAGACCTTTACAAGCGGAGCCCCATTGGAATCCTGCAACGCTGTATCCCCATTGAGTAGGGGAGGCGGCTGCTTCAGGACGTACACAGGGGCGCCTGCGGTCACCACGCAGCACCACGCACCCTCGTCGGGAACAGCGTTTCGGCAAGGTTTCTACTGACCCACGGCCGTAGCCGACACCACCGAGGTAGTACGCGCCTCCGAAGGGTGTCAATACTACGCCAGGCAAATCCACCTGCCAGCCCAAGCATTCCAGACAATCCCCATCACATGGCCTTTCGCGGTCTGGGGTCTGGACCTTGTCGGGCCGCTTCAGAAAGCGCCTGGGGGCTTCGCCCACTTACTTGTCGCCGTTGACAAAGTCTCGAACTGGATTGAGGCTCAGCCGATCATGCGCAGATCAAATTTGAGCAGGCGGTGCTCTTCTTCACCGACATCGTTCACCGCTTCGGGGTCCCGAACTCCATCACCGACAACAGAACACGGTTTACCTACAAAAAAATCCTCAAGTTCTGTGATGATCACCATATCCGCGTGGATTGGGCTGCCGTGGTGCACCCCGAACGAACGGGCAGGTCGAACGCGCCAACGGCATGATCTTGCACGGCCTCAAGCCGAGGATTTTCAACCGGTTGAACAAGTTCGGCCGCCGATGGCTCACGGAACTACCTGCGGTCCTATGGAGCCTGAGAATGACCCCGAGCCAAGCGACGGGTTTCACGCCTTTCTTCATGGTCTATGGATCTGAGGCAGTCCTCCCCACCGATCTAGAATATGGGGCGCCGAGGGTAAAAGCGTTCGACAAGCAGGGAAACCAAGCCTCCCTCAAAGACGCTGTAGATCAGCTGGAAGAAGCGCGCGACGTCGCCCTGCTCCACTCTGCCAAGTACCAATAGGCCCTGCGACGATATCATTCCCGACGCGTGCGGGGTCGGGCCTTCAACATCGGGGACTTGGTGCTTCGGCTCAGGCATACCAAAAAGGGTTGGCACAAACTGACCCCACCATGGGAAGGCCCATTCATCGTCGCAGAAGTACTCCGACCAGGCACCTACAAGTTGGCTACCTCGGACGGTGAAATCTTCACCAACGCTTGGAACATCGAACAACTACGTCGCTTCTACCCTTAGATTTCTATGCTATTTACATACTTGATCGAGCGCTCATTGTTATCTACTTCGCACAACTCTGAGTGAGACCCGACCCTACCTTCAGCTAGGGTCGTGCCTCCCTTGAGGGCTGAAGGGGGGGGGGAACCCCCCAATGCTTCAAAATTTTCATAACACTTTTCAAAAAAAATTCATACATGAACCCTCCCGGCACTGATTAAGTAAGCGAACGTTTTAGAAAGCGAAGAGCCCCTCGGGCCGGATTGATCGGGTCTTGAGAAACCTACGCCCTGACGGCTACGTTGCCTCTGCCTGCCAGTCCCGACCTAAGGGGTGAACTCGCACTTCTAAAAAAATCGCGAACTTAAACACAGTGTGGGGATCGGACGAACGTGCGAAAAATTTTACGAAAAGTCTCTCGCTCGAGCCCTCCTGCGCTGTTTAAGTAAGCGAACATTTTAGAAAGCGAAGAGCCCCTCGGGCCGGATTGATCGTGTGATGAGAAACCTACGCCCCGACGACTACGGTGCCTCTGCCCGCCAGTCTCGACCTAAGGGGTCAACTCGCACTTCTAAAAAATTCACAAACTTAAACACAGTGTGGGGATCGGGCGAGTGTTCAAAAAATTTCGCGAAAAGTCGCTCACCCGAGCCCTCCCGACGTTGTTTAAGTTAACGGACGTTTTAGAAAGCGAAGAGCCCCTCGGGCCGGATTGATCGAGTCATGAGAAACCTACGCCCCGACGGCTATGGTGCCTCTGCTCACCAGTGTTGGTCTAAGGGGTCAACTCGCAGTTCTAAAAATCCACGAACCTAAACACGGTACATAGGGCCTCACACTGTTTAAGTAAACAAACGTTTTAGAAAGCGAAGAGCCCCTCGGGCCGGACTGATCGGGTCGTGAGAAATCTACGCCCCAACGGCTATGGTGCCTCTGCCCACCAGTTTTGGCCCAAGGGGTCAACTCGCACTTCTAAAAAGTCTGTGAACTTAAACACGGTGTGGGGATCGGGCAACTATTCAAAAAACTTTACGAAAACTCACCTCGCCTGAGCCCTCCGGTGATGACTTGGAAACGCGGGCGCGTTAGGGACGGGAGCCCCTCGGGTCAAAGTTAACCAGACCAAGAAAAATCTACACCACGACGGCTACGGTACCCTTGGTCGTTAACCCCGACCCATAGGACTGGACCAAACCCTAAAACGCCACAGACCTAAGCTCACTATGAGGATCGGGCAAACGCGTAAAAACTTAGAAATCGATACAAGTTCTTAAATGGCCCCGAGGGCCGTAAGCTTGTCCAGAATACTAAGTTCGTTACACGGGCATCTCGCCTGACACTCTCTCTCACATCTCCAGGGACGGAGGAACGACTTCATCTTCGAACTTCGCCGCCAAAGTCTTCGCCAGCTCCACCACTTTCACGTCGATGGCGTCGAGCTCTTCCTCGGGGCGTCGACGTAGCCCTCGCTCAGCGCCACCAGATCGATCTGCTGGTACAGGGACCTGAAGACGGCAAGTGCGCGGCGCACCCCGAGGTGAAGCGCCTCCTTCACTTAGGACCGAGCCCGCTCGAAGGCGACCCTGAGACGACTTCGCAGCGAGCTCGCCCCGGAATGCACCTGGACCATCCCGACGGCGTCGCGCACCAGCCCAACGGCGGAGCATAGATCGGAGTGCTCGCGTTGTTCCGTCTCCAAGGCCTCCTGCGCCAACGAGAGCTTTGTTCCCACCTTGGCAAGCTTACCCTTCAGGCCTGATTATCGCGGAAGATGAGAAACAGGTCTCAGAAAGCATAAAACGAACAACCAAAGGCACTTACCTTCTATTTCTTTGGCTTTCGCAGCCTCCCGCTCACGCCCATGGGACAACACGGCTCGAAGGGACTGGACCTCGGTCGTTAGCGTGTGGTTCTCCTCGGCAAGTTGAGAGACCTCACGCGTGGCGTTCTTCAGCTGGTCCTTCACAATGTCCCGCACCTGCCGAGCAATGATGCACTCTTGCCGAGCCTCGTCGCGCTCGCCAAGAGCTTGCTCGCGCTCGCGGCGGATGAGCCCGAGCTCGGACACATGTTGCGCGGAGACCCGCAATAGCTCGACGTGCTCGGCCTTCACCCTCTGGGCCTCCTCATCCTTACGGGTGCGCTCGAGGAGAGCCAATAGCTTCTCCCCCGCCTCTTAAGCCTCGGTGGCCGCCTCCTCATGATGAATGCGGAGGTCCGCCATCTCCATGCTAAGGTTGGCCATCCTCTGCTGGGCCTCAGCGAGCCGTGCCTCGGTCGCTGCAATCCTCTGTTCCTCCAACGACAGGTGCCTCCACGCGTCCCGCTCACGGCAGAGGAACTCTGACTTCCCCCGGCTCCGCTCGAATAACGCCTGCGTAAAGAGCCACTTCAAGAACACAGAACGAGGTGGAGAACCAAAACGATGAGTATCCACCCGACCCGACGTACCTGGCCAGCTAGGCGGATGTCTTCGTGCAGGATGGATAATGCCAAGGACAGGGTCTTGTTGAAGCCTTCGCACCTCGACTGCAGCCGGTCCCAGTACCCCTGCTCCTCGGCGTCATCCAGCACGAAGACCGGCGGCGTCCCCGGCTGGTTCCTATCCGACCAGGTGAGGCGCGGGCTGCCCCACTGGTAAGGATCGCGCCCCACCCGCACGAGAGCTACAGGCCCCTCGGTGCGGGAGGGCTTTGTCACTTCGGCCACATCAGATGGCTCGCCGGAGGAGACCGACACCACTTCCACCTCGGCGGTCTCGGCCTCGCGTGATGCCGCCTCCTCTGCCTGGGACCCGCCCCCGGCGGCGGCCCCCACCCGAGTAGAGGGGCCTCAAGCGCAGCCTCCTCCGCCGCTCTAGCCTCACGCGGTGCTGCCTCCTCCGTCTAAGACCCGCCCTCAGCGGCGGCCCCCACCTGAGCCGAAGGATCCACAAGCACGCCTGTTGGAACCGGTGGTGACCACCGAGTTCATGATCTTGGAGCTGGCTTGCAGCCGGCTCGGCTCGTTACGAGCCTGCGCTCCCACAGGTCCTAGGTCCACCAGAGCTGACAACATATAAGGCCTTGGGCCTTACTCAACCCAAAAGACTAGCCTGATAGGTGAGGGTTCTTCCGCCTTATATGTTGTGCTCCCCCACCATCGCTACACGATGTGGGACTAAACTCCAACAATCTACAACTGTTGGAACCGGTGGTGGCCACCGAGTTCATTCACGATCTTGGAGCTGGCTTGCAGCCGGCCCGGCTCGTTACCACGAGCCTGCGCTCTCACAGGTCTCAGGTCCACCGGAGCTACAACATATAAGGCCTTGAGCCTTACTCAACCCAAAAGACTAGCCTGATAGGTGAGGGTTCTCCCACCTTATATGTTGTGCTCCCCCACCATCGCTACACGATGTGGGACTAAACCCCAACAATCTCCCCCATAGTCACACATCGAGGTGCCCCCGCCATATATGTGACGCTCGAGATTTTTTATCGGGTTTAGCTTTTCTGACCATGGGCTCTGATACCAACTGTTGGAACCGGTGGTGGCCACCGAGTTCATTCACAATCTTGGAGCTGGCTTGCAGCCGGCCCGGCTCGTTACCACGAGCCTGCGCTCCCACAGGTCTCAGGTCCACCGGAGCTACAACATATAAGGCCTTGGGCCTTACTCAACCCAAAAGACTAGCCTGATAGGTGAGGGTTCTCCCACCTTATATGTTGTGCTCCCCCACCATCGCTACACGATGTGGGACTAAACCCCAACAACGCCCACTTCCGCCGGCGCTCGCCCTTCAACCGGGAGGGACGGCCCCTCGGGTGGCTCCTCCTCCTCACCCAGGGAGTCCAACCAATCGTATGGGAGGACCCCCTGCTCGACCCTCTCCCCGTCATCATCGTCGTCGTCCCAGCTTGACGATTCCTCCTCCTCTATGGCCGCCCGTTGCCTCTTCCGGCACTTCTCACGCTCCTCCTTCCTCGTGGCTCTGGCATCCCTCTTCTTCTTCCGGTCATCTTTCCTCCGCTCTGCCTCCTCGGCTGTCGCCTGGTTCCTTGCCGTCCGGGCCACGTCCTTAGGGAGAGGGGGGTCGAAGTCTTTGACGATGCACAGCCCCCCTGCGAACCCCCGAGCGTTGGGACAGGCAATAGAAAAGAAGAACAAAGAGCCCGAGAGGGGGGTCGGGGAGAAAGGGGAGAGGAGTCAAAGGGCTTACGATCTCGATGAAGTTCTTGTCAGGGCGCATCGGCGGACAGAGGTCGAGGTCGTCGTCGGATGGCACGGTCCCGAGCGCCGCCTTGACGTGCTTCTTAATCTCCTCGCGGTCGAGGCCCTCCGACACGAGCACTGTCCTCTCGAGGGGTGCGCCCGGCACCATCTCGTCCAGACGGCGTGCCCGCCGCATCAGCGGTAGCACCCTCCGTGCATGGAAGGCGGCAATGACCCTGGCCTCGGTAAGGTCATTGTTCATCAAACGCTTGATGGCCTGGAGGTGGGTGGCGATCATGTCCTTCTTGGCGGAGACGGGGCCGTACCCCCACCGATCCGGCACTGCTTCGATGTAGCGGCCGGTGTATAGGGGCAGGGGCACGTCGTCGTCGCTCCGGAGGTAGAACCACTTGTCATGCCACTCCTTGTTGGAAGAAGACGCCTTCATCGGGATATAGCCGTCCGCTCGGCTCTGGCGAAGTTGGATTGAGCAGCTCCCGACGCGCACCGGCACCTGATCCCCCTTCTTCACCGACTTGAAGAAGACGGTGGCGCAGAAGAAGTACTTCCACAAGGCAAAGTTGGGCTTGATGCCCAAATAGCCCTCACACAGGGCAACGAAGACCGAGATTTGCAGAACCGAGTTAGGGTTGAGGTTCTGCAGCTCGATCCGTAATAATGGAGCAGCCCACGGAAAAAAGTGCTCGCCGGTGTGCCGAACCCCCGCTCATGGAAGTGCGCGAAGCTGACGACATAACCATTGGGGGGCTTGGCTCGTCGACGTCAATAGGGGGGATGATCCACTCCGGCACTGGTGTCCGTCACGGGACAGAGTGGTCCCTCCCTGACGAGCCGCGTCGCAGTCTTCTCGGTGAAGGTGGAGCGCCCCCCACGGGTCCATTGAGAAGCAGAAAGGCGACCTAACGACGATGGCGGCAAGGTGAGATCCCTCTTTCTCTCTCCTTTTTCACTCTAGCTCGTTGTAGCAGATTGAAAACGCAAAGGCAAGGGAAGCGGGGGGTGAACGTATGCAGAGCAGGGGAAACTCCCCCAGGATATAAAGGGGGGGACAGCCGAGAGCCCGCATTAACTATGACTGCAGGGATGTCTCGTCACGATCCTAGAAATCTCGGTAACCGAGCGCACGCCTCCTGCGAAATCGCCCTGTCCGCTTACGCCTTCCGCCTAAATTCTTGCGCCTATCGTTATCTTTCCGCCGTATGAAAGCCGGACACATTTATTTCCTTACAAGCGAAACGTGGGCTTCCGTGGATACGAAAGGGATATGGGGCTATACACGCCCCTACGGCCCATCTATGGTGCAGGGTTCAAAGGCTAGCCCACCATGGGTTCGACAGCCACCCCAGGGCACCGAGAGTCAGGGATGGCAAGGGATGGGCACACCAGTGGCCAGCACCCTGGCGCCCGAGCGCTGAGGGCATCCCAACCCATGTTCGAGTCCTGATCGGTAATTGATCCATGGTATCCCTCGACGGGAGGCATCGAGCCCTCGGACCGGTCGGACGGTTCTGAGAACTATATGGATCAACCATCGGGAATCTAGAGTGCGTCACTAGCTTGACCACGAGTCGGCGCCCGGCGAACGGGAACCGGGGCTCCACTCGAACGTACCCGCTAACAGCTCAACGCGCACCATGGTTCGTCCAATGAGGATAGCATGGCCTGGCTCACCCCCTCCGTTTCGCTAAGGAACGCGTGAGGGTCGATAGACAAAGATGAGACGCCACCCGATCGGTCTCTTGCAACACGCGGGGGCTATGCTCGCACCCCGACCCAACGAACGGTCATGCCCCACGGCAAACCAAGGCTCGGGGGCTCCACGAATGCCCCACGACTACGCAAAAACAGCAAGGGCCAAAACACCCGAGGGGAACACACCCCAAAATAGCGTCAACCGAGATCACCTCGCTCAATTCAAAGCCCTTGAAGGGATGACTCACCCCTTCAAGGCCTCGGGGGCTACACTAGGTAGGTGTGCTCGCGCGTACCCACCGGACGGCTTTTCTAAAAACAAAATACCAACGAAACACCGACGTATACCCCTATCTAAGCGTGATCATTAGTCATCAAGCCTCTAGAAGAGTGCCTCACTCCTCCACAGGCTCGGGGGCTACTGTCGGGTACCAATGTTAGGGGTACCCATCCAAGACTGATAAACAATGTATTTACACTTGCTTCCTGAGTCTTAGGGGCAATCTCCGCCTCGCCCGATCCCACCTAAAGAGTCTCGAGTGAAGCAGACCCCTCGGGCGTAGCCTCCGTCTCACCCGAACCCGACCGAAAGGGCTCGGGCAAGACGGACCCCTCACCCGCAACCTCCGCCTCGCCCGAACCCGACCGAAAGGGCTCAGGCAAGACAGACCCCTCGCCCGTAGCCTCCGCCTCGCTCGAACCCGACCGAAAGGGCTCAGGCAAGACAGACCCCTCGGACGCAGTCTCCGCCTCGTCTGAACCCTCATGACGTCATCACATATGTTCACCTCGCCCAAAGGCTGCGTCAAGACCTCGGGCACAACAGGGAGTCGCACGAGCCCCCACCACGACGCCCATCCCTGACGATGGGACGGACGTGACCACACACAGTAAACAGAGGGATGGGAGCCGTGGTACGATTCGATAAGACCCCGGTCATTCCACCACGACAGGGGTAACGGCCATTGTTCTCGATAAGACCCCGGTCATACCTCCACAACGACGGGGGTAACGGCCACTATTCTGCCTAACCCCGTCTCTACGCAAATCTGGGCAGACACGCCGCCCATCCTCGACGGTACAAGGGCGCACAGAGCAAGGCATGGCCTTGGCACGTCGCGCTAGTGGACGGGGAGGCCAAAAGCTCTACGCCCATCGCGTCCTCGCGCTGTAGAGTCGACCGCTCACGCCGGATAAGGAGGAAGATGTCTACACCTGAGGCCACCTTTTTCTCTTTCTTCTTTTTCCCCTTTCTTACTACAACTGTAACCTGAGCCATCCCCTTGAGAACTATAAAAGGGGAGGCAAGGACCACATCTAGGGGCATCGCATAACGACCGGCATTCGGTCACGACACAGAACACTACACTGAGCACAAGCTCAAACACGCACATCACCAAAGAGACTTGGGACCTGCTCCCTCTCTCGAACGTTTGTAAAACCACAAGCACTACGGTGCAAGACAACACGAGCAGCAGCAACACCCACTAGACGTAGAGACCTTCCTGCCCGAACCAGTATAAACATTTGTGTCCGCTTTGCACACCATCCGAGCCTAAGACGCGCAGATTCAAATTCACTCGTCTCAGTGTCTAGAGCGCCATTCTAGACACCGACAACATGTCTGCAAATTTTTTTTTGAACAGCAGCAACTCACAACATGTGCATGTTACACTATCCTAGAGCTAATTTGTGCTCATACTTACTATTCATTAGTTGAACATTTTTTTCTTGATGTATACTATATGGGTTCTTAATTAATTTGTTGTTTCATGCTTTGCAGACCAAACTACAAGAAGTTGCTGGGACGCATCAAGAAAAGATATCTTCTGCGCCTGTGCCAATAGTGGAGCACTTCTCACTAGTTCTTGGTCGAAAGCCAAACCATTCACATGGTGTTGGCATTCGTGCTGTAAACCGAGTCACCGAGGAAAGGATCAGATTGCTGACACAAATCGAGGCTTCTCAACAACGTGAAGCTGCAGCTCGAGCACGTGCAGATGCTGCTGAGCAACGTGCTGAGGCTGCTAAGCAACGAGCACAAGCTTTGGAGGGCTAAGTCTCAACAGTGGTCGAAACAAATGCACAGTTACAAGAAGAGCAACAACTCCAACGTGATGAGCTTAGTTCTTTGCGTCAAACACAGAGTGGAGAAGTTGCGCATCTAGTGAGAGAGCAACTTGATCAACAAATGACGGATTTCTTTGCACACATTCAATCTGGTGCTTCACAGTCTTCACCATAGAGTTTAATACCTATAGTTGAATAAATTATTTGAGATTTGAATGTAGTGTGTGAGTTATTTCGTGAGTTCCAAGTGTTACTAATTTTTGTATATTGCTGGACTGCAACATTATCATGGTTAAAGAATTATTGAAATAAATACTATTGGTCTACAGTAGTGAGAATTGTATTGGTACATATTTGTTAAGTCATTTTTGTCACTACAACATGTGTGATAATGATAAATCATTTGCCACATCATCTATTGTTCCACACAATTGAGGATTTATCTTGTGAGAAAACTTGTCATAACTAATATTTTCACACAAATGCAATGTTTTTTGAGGATGAAATTATCGACACGATATGTCTTTTCAATTCTCACAAAAAATGCATATTGTGATGAAAAGGTTTGAGGCTGTAATATATATGTGAGGACGAGTTACATCACAAATAAAATGCATTTGTGTTGATAAGGCGCCACTTTTTCCCATATAAGCTGTGGCGATCAACTAGACACAATTGAAACTAAAATAGTGAGAACAAATTTTGACACAGTAAACTTGTATAATGGCAAAACTTTGGTCACTGATATATATATAGTCTTTAGTGACCATATAATTCATCACTTTTACAATGGTAACTGTGATGACCAAATTGCCATAAATACTCTATAGTTGTGTCAACTATTATAACCACTAAAAAACATTATAAGTGGCAATTTTTTTGCCACTAATTCATATGTCTTTTGTGGCAACGAATGGGACCACAAATGGCCACTTCACTAGTGGCACCACAGTTCGTCACTAATGAGTATGGGTATTTGTGGGGAACGAAAAACCATCACTAGAGTATTTGTGAGACGAGTATATGTGGCGACTAGTGGCGATTTAAAAAGTCGCCACAAAGGTCGATTTCTGGCAAAAAAATAAGCTTTTGTGATGAAAATTTTCGCCATAAAAACCCTTTGCCCTTGTGGTGTATCTTAGTCCGAAGGGCGGACCTGGTAAAGCGGTAGAGCCCAACCGCCTGGGAAAGACTGTTGCTGACACCCTTCCCAAACCCCGTGTAGTGCGGGAAGCCTACGACACTGGGTACGCCCTGTATGAATATCTTCGTCCAACAAAAATCAGTCTCATATCAAGATCTGATGCTTGGAACTAGGCCTAGGTGATGTTGCTCTGTTGTGATGTATTTCACCAAGTTTAAAGTTTTTTTAGTTTTCTAGGGCCTCTTAGGGAGTTAACCGTTGTTTGCCAAAAGTTTCTGTAACAATGCGCATCATACCACTATTTTGCGGCTAAGAGACCTCCACCAGAATTTATGCTTATGCAAATCCAGTAAAGAAGCTTGTATATGACAAGTGGGGACTGGCCTATGGGTTTGTATGGTGTTTGCTGCATGCCAAAAGTGTGATAGCAAGCAAAGTTCATGCCAAAGCTAATCAACCTAAGTGGTGGAAAATTTTGGCCACGAACCTAATACCATGTAAATTATAGGAGTCCTAATAATAATTCCTTCAGGGAAATTTATGTCCAAAAAAATAGTGGGAAATTTATGTCCAAAAAAATAGTGGGTGCCGGGAACGTAGGGTTTTATATTATGTGTAGTGCACACCTACTACCATATTTTCTCATTAGGTAGCAGACATGGGCTAGGTGCAAACAATAAGACATCAGAAGTTGTAATGCATAACCAAATATAGCAGTGAAAAGGTATACAAACCCTTTAGCCTCTCCACTATTCGAGAGAGTAGGAATTGCAATCCTCGTTATCGCACCACATGAACGAAAATGCCGAGAAGCATATTATGGATCTGTAATTAGCAATTCAACATCAAATGTAAACATGTCTCAAATGTAAGAGAGAAGAATTAAGCAGAAGTCATTATCTTATTTTGCTTTAGATTGAATATATTATGAATATGTAGTAGGCAAGACAAAGTCATCTCGTAAACTCAGGACCCACCAAACAATGATTATCTGACTATCATACAACTCCATGCTATTAAACCTTAGTCCTTGTACCAAAAAAGTGCTATCAGAGAAAGTAGGATACAAATGTATAAACAATTATCATACATTCAAAATCCCAATAAATATATATAAGAAAAAAACCCTTATGCCATCTTTAATGCTATCAAAAGAAGCTTGGCATGTTGTGGGCTAGTAGAGCAGTCAAGATGAGTTATTAGTGGCATTTAGATAATGATATGAAAAATTAAATTTAGGAGTTTAGGTATTCTCGTCAGACCCTTTATATTATGGTTAATGAGAAAACAGCTACAATAGCTGAACTATAGGATGGATCTCAGCTGAGGTGCACTTTTTAGTAGATATATAACTACAATAGTATGAAGATTGCTATGTAATTACATAACTTGTTTATTAAATATTTTATTTTTTTGTGTGAATTCAGTTATCTTGTTACTGAGGTATTGTTGGTCATCTATTGTTTTCGTTTTTATATGATGTGTTGGGACATACCCCAACATGAGAGAGAGAGAGAGAGGAGGAGGAATAAGATATGCGGTTTTGGTGTGAGTGGGGAACCACACTACCTCTTGCCCTTTGGGTTCTATTTATAGGGAGGTGGGAGGAGTCAATCTTCCTCCCTACCCCTTTTGGTTACAAATTATAACGAGGTCCATGCTCTCCTGATGTCTCGGGCCTTGGGGCTTTTTACAAGGAAGCGGGGGTACGGTGGCACAACAGCCCTTACCCCTAGTAGTAGCCCCTACATTCCTAAAACATAGGAAAAAGACCCACGAATATGATTCGCTAGTCATGAGTGACTCCCTCATGACCGCTTGTTCCTGTGTGCCTCACTATAACTCCATCCAAAAACACAGTGGGACAAAAAATGGAGTACAGAGAAAAGAGCACACATAACTCAGAGATAACCATGCAAAACCTAAGCTAAGATTCGATGTCTGTAATGTATCCTCGGAGTGAGGAAATGCTTCGGTAGCGAAGGTTAGAGGCCACGATCTGATGATGATGACTTTTTGTTTGTGGAGGTCGATGATCTCACTCCCTCTTGTTCTAACCGTTGCAAGGGTCTTGACCTAGAGTTGGGCACTTTTACACAAAAAAACCGAGCACCAAACTAAACCGAGCCAAACCTAGCGGAACTATCGGTTCTTTTGGTGTTGAGTTTATGCTTCGATTGCAGATTCTTGGAAGTTTAATGACCGGTGTTAGCTTTCCATGGCTCCTGCACCCAAACCCTAGCCCACAGACCACGCTCCTCGAACTCCTATCCTCAAATCATGCTTTTAATTTCCATCATCAATCACATTCTCAACCCACCTAAGCCCACTACCGAGGCCCAAGGAAACTATGCAGCCGCAACCGTTAGTGGCCACGTCTTGCCATCCTGAAAACATCCAATAAAAAAGGAACCATCACTACATCTCCCTCATGGTCGACTGCATGCTCCTTTCAAGACCGCATGGCGCCGTTGCTCGCCACACTTGCACTGCCACATCTCTCCCTACCAGCCTCGGCTAGCGCGACGCCACCTGCCCACTCAACACCAACACCTACCTTCCTTCCCCAACAAGCACGCCCTCGCCTCATGGCCTATCTTGCTAGTCCATCCAACGCCAAAATTTGTGGGCAACGAAGAAACTAAACTGAGGTAGTCGGTTAAACCGATTGCCCAACCCTATCTTCACCTCTCTAGGAGTAGCTCTCTGTAGCCAAAGTAGTGGAAGTAGTTGTACTAGCTGCCATAGTCATCAAAGGTAGACTGATGTTCATCAAGTCAAGAACTTTCAAAGCATGGCTACACAATACACCGGTCCTTGCAAACTACCCACAATTACAAGAAGTTTTTTTGCTTCGAGGGGTCACCAACAACTACACGTTCTATTTCAAAACTTAAATCACCATCATACCTCACAATTGCAATAGCATATATGTCTTATGTTCTTCCACTGCTCTAGTACACATGATCATGGATCTTTCATATTGAGCTTGGAATGCTTCAAATATTGATGGAGTGTAAAGTATGCTAGCTTGCACCAACATAGGTGTCCTCATTATTAATCTAGGTAGGTTTTTTCTGGATACAAATTCTTCTTCCAATTCCTTGTTTCTTTTTCCATGCACCACCCTCTCAAAATGCTTTTTGAACCTGATGATGCCAAAATCTGATTTCATATGGTCTTTTAAATCACTAGTGAAACTCTCACTTAATTGTGTTAGCATTCCCAATGTGAAAACATCACTTTGTGACATTTGGCTCATTCCCGAGATGTCTTCTTCTTCTCCACCATATTTCTCATCATGTAAAATGCTTCTTGGCTAACTTGTGCTCAATGCTATACAAGCAAGAACTAAAATCTGAAAGGATATGAAATTCTTTGTCTTCTTTCTTTTTTCTTATTACACAAGTGCTTATATTGACAACATTTTAAATTATGTGGTAGGTGCACAATCGTCATGCTTTTGTGAATACCTCTTGAATAGAATTTCCACATGCTGTTGGACAAGCAAATCTGTTACCATGCTTGCCACATGTTGAAATTTTCTTTGCCATCAAATTTCTCTACTTGATTCCACATCCCTGACATCGTCTTAATTTCGCGCTTCCTAGCCCTGTCAACCTTCTCACAAAATCAAATCAATCCGACCTTGGCTCCGATATCAGTTGTTAGAATCTATAATCCTAGTTATGCGTAACGACACTTAGATCTTTGAAAGGATGTTGCAAGTATGACACATGCTTACACTGTATCAAAAACAAGGTAGACGAATCACGTAGAAAACCCTAGATGACGATGTTGAAGCAATCACGACAAGAGATTAGGATATGGCGAAGCCGACCACA